CACACACACACACACACACACACACACACACACACACACACACACACACGGCTTTAAGATATTAATCTCTGCTGATGGCCATAATGAATCCACATGTGCTTAGAAGCTGTCAAAGACTCTTGAAATGTCCCATGATCCAGTGTTAATCATCCAGGGAAGAACTCCCTGCCCCTAGGGAGGTACCAGAGGTGTTCTCACCTACCCTGAGCCCAATAAAAGACCACATTTGGACTTCACTTGGCAGACCAAGGTCTTCTTCCCTCACTCCATGAGACTTCTCCCACCTGGACCTCTACCACCTCCTCAGCGGATCAGGACTACAGCCATCATCAGAGTTGCAGCAACCAGGTCTCATCACTGGACCCAGCAGGTGTCTTGTGGGTCCTTCCAGTTGTCTGAGAGGTCCACAGCCCTGCTCCAACTGCCTGTGCTGGCTCTGCAGCCTCACTCCAGCACTGCAGCCTCACTCCAGCACTGACCCTCCAAACCACTCCTGCCAGGCTTTACCAGGTGGGGGGAGGCCGGATGCCATCTTGTTTTGGTCCAATGGGCAGGAGCTTGGAAATTTTTCTGGTTAGCTTATCCCAGTTTTATCAGTATTGTTCAGCATTCTTCTCGATAAAGAGTTATTTTTTCACTTACATCCGGGCGTGTTTGATCTCTCTCTCTCTCTTTCTATTGGAGAGAAGCAGGGGTATTGAATCGGAGGAAGGAGACTTCTGTCCAAGGTCTCTGTCCCTCCAAATTGTCTCAAACTGAGACAACATACCATGGACTTAAGTTACATTAAATCATGGATTTTCAGTGATTAATCCTATAGGATTATAATATGTTGTAATATTAACCATGGAGACAATATTCAGGAGAAATAGAATGGGTAAATGGATCTGTCTTTAAAGAATAATACAACGTTCCTTTGCTTTGACTCCCACTTGATGAGAAAAAGTAGATGAGTTTGAAATTAGTGCTGAATATGACACCAAGGCAAAGAGATAGTGTGCAATGCAAACAAAAATAAGATGTTTACCAGCTCTGCGAAGTCAGCTGCTTCCAGATCACTCAGTGCCGTGTCAATTTCCATCTGAAATATTTAAACAGTACTTCTTAATAGACATTTCCAACACATTAATTTCTCATAATAGCATAGGTTGCTCTGTCTCGCTGGTCTCAGATTAGAAGTAACAAAGTAAGTGGATAAAAATTTGCATGTACTTTTCAATAGTAACATCAAATATCAAGAACACCTTGAGCCGTCAGATTAAAGGAAAATCCTTCTTAAATGCTGTCTATCCCCTTGCTCTTTGAAACTGTACAATTTCCCTCCTTGTGTGCCTGCTGAACATAGTGTTTAGCGCAAAGGTGCATTAGATGTCTAGAGACAATTCTCAAATCTGGCACACTATTGCATCCAACTGAGTTATCAGAAAAATCTTTTACACAATGGATTTATTTTTTTTGTCTCTATGGAAATTGCGAAAACTTTCTCACGCATTATCTTTGTTCTACTAAAACTGCTTTAGGTGTCCTAATTTCTGTAACTACAAAAGCTGCTGGTTAATGTAAATTTTATTAAGAGTACTTCAAGAAACATAGTACTAGGCACTGAAACCCCTGACATAAAGGTAGTACTTAATGAAAAGAACCTAAACCCCGTAATTACAAACTTCTTGGGCTGAATTAACAGGCTGCCTCTAATTGAAACAGCCAGTTTTCAAACAAAGTAATGTCAGCAGGGCTGCTGGCAGTCAAAAATTAACCAGTCTCTCAGCTTTTCCCCAGCCAAAATTTAAATGGCTTTCTGCCCAAAGAACTGACATTTTTAGCTTTATATTCCTTATAGGATATAAATATCTTCACCAAAATGTTAACTGGAAATGTCATGTTCTGCAACAATAACATTTTTTCTGGAAAATATGAATGATCTCAGACAACTCTGGAAAGTGATGTCTGTATCACAAATATAAATGACGCTGTTGTCTAAATCCCTTTAAAACTTAACTATTTTTCAAGAAAGAAACAATCTGGTAGCGGAACTATAGAACAAAGTGCAATAGAGTCTTTCTATAGACACTTGAGAGAGAAGAAGAAAGCATGGAGGAAAAAACCTAATCTCTTCTGAGACACTCCATAAATATGCACTTCTATATAGCTAAAACATATATAACAGTGTTCATACATATTATAAAAGCAGAGGTTGGATTAAAATAATTGCAAACATATTGTCCTCAAGCACATATTTAGCAAAAATATATCTGGACACATACTACAGAGTAAGGTAGAAAGAACTAAATAACTACCAGTCTGCAACTAAAGATAAAAGAGGAGACAATTCTCTTTTAAAGGAGAAAAGAGAGAAGACCACAGAAATATGTTTGGAAACTAATAGCATTGACTGATGCACAACCTGCAACATTCAGGGTAATTTCTATTACTGAATAACAGCAAACCTGTAAAGTTGAAAGACTTACCTCTTCATCCCTTCCCCTCCAAACACACTTATAAAAATTATACAGTGAGGTCTTATTAAACATAAAAATCAGAAACCCAGGAAAGTCCTAGTTAATATTATCTTCAAATAAAGACTGTATAAATTACAGAATATGCTACTGCAGAAGAAAGGTCATTTTGAACATCCAAACTCAGTCCTTTCACAAAGCCGTTCTGAGAAACACTTGCAGTTTTCCATGAAGTTCAGCAAGTACAATGTTCATTTCTCTTATTGTTGCTGATGAAATAAGTTTGGATAATGGAGTTTAGTCAACTCAGATTACAATCATTGTCTAATAATTAGAATTAGCCTTAAGTATGTTATCTACAAACTTACAAATATTTTGGGTCTATCCAAAAATGAAAGGAAACTCTGAGCTTAAAACTTCCAAGCTGTTTTATTTGCATTGAATCATGGCAAATACTCATTAAAAAACAAAATCTACCATGACAAGACTAACATATTCTAAACCAGAATCATAGATATTAAAGCCATGAAAATGACATTTATGACTGACAGCTATAATTCCATTTACTATGATCTACCTTTTGTCTTACTAGTGCTTAATGCACAACCTAGTTTCTAATTAGGAGGTAACCAGACACAGTGGAATGGTGCAGAAAAGCTGTACCTGTATGTGTCACACAAATGACATGTGGATATTTATTTTGATTTTGCAACAGCCATTTATAACTCTCCCAAGTTACAAGCTATGGGCTTCTGGAGTAGTATTTCCTACCTGGAAAAATATTTCAGTGGTCAAAATCAAACATAAAGCTACATACTATGGGCTGCTTTCCCTACTCTATATCCTAGTTCTTAGAGATGTGTGTGTATAGATTTTAAATAAAGTTTTAAGTCCTCTGTCATCATAATCTCTTCCTAGATAACTCTAAAGCCACTAAACACACTGTGGGAATGACAGTGTAGCTCCAAACCTGAATAAAGGATCTGGTAGGAAAATGGATGGTCTTGGATGAGCAAAGGTAAATTACACAATAACAGCAGAAGATTTTTTGGTCTCTCATATACAAATTTTTCCAAAGAGATGTGAAAAGGACATTACCTTGATCTCCTGAGGCAGTGTCAGCCAGCGCAGGCCTGGGAGATTGTCCAAGAACAAGGCACTGCAGGTCTCATAGTGCTGAGCACTGGGGCTGGCACTCGGCTCGAGCCTCACAGGCTGAAGTGCACGCTGGAAGAACAGGTTGAAAAAATGATCGAGGCGAGAAACATTTTCCACCTGGCAAAAAGCACTGAACAAACATGAACTCCAAGTTAGAATAACATTGAGAAACTTGCAGCTTATTTATATAACCCTCAGTGCTACACAAGTCTCTTTGCAGCATGATGCTACATTTGGATGTATTTTTAACATGAAACAACCCACTAGGCTAATATCCAGGCAGTAGCTAAAAATAAAGAACAAACTAAAGCAGTATGGTATCATAGTAGATGTCTTAGAGTAACTTGATATGATTTAACCATCAGTCTCATCCTTCTGGAAACAGATTTATTCTTTTTCTTTCTCTATGGCATACACACGTTGAGCATGAATTGATGCAAGCATATGAATAATCTATCTTGGCAATTTTATCTAGGTCAAGACTCAAAATTTTCTGGGTGATTTCCAAATGCAGAGAAAGACAGTCACTGCAAGTCCAGAGTGTTTACTTTATTAAAAATATAATACTGATTCATATGTATATTTTACAGACAGTGCTTGAACGTAAAGGATAACATTTGCAGAGTGCTGTTGATATCCACAGGTTAGATTATGTGAATGATTTAACCTAATCAAGGACAAAACTTCCTGAATTGACAAAGACTGTTTAAAAAGTGTCTTACTAGTGTTCACACTGAAAGCAAAAGGCAAGAAGAACATAATTCTGTTTTTTATGCAAGTGTAAAGGCACAGGCAAAGAAATTCCATGTAGACATTAAAATTAATGCTACTATTTGTCTTTTTCAGTGAGCACCAATGAGAAATGTGTGAGTGAAAAGAAAATACTTTTGAAAGAACTCACCTGTCCAAAGAACCGTACATAAACGTCAAGGTCCTGACAACATCTTCAATCATGTTCCTCAGCTGAGAAAGTGGCACACTAAAAAAAAAAAAAATTAAAACGTACAGCTTTACTATGAATAAGTAGTCCTCCTAGAACACATAGGTGTGTAATATTACTGATGTTATACAGCAGTCTCTACGAAGTACTTGAATTTACCAAATCCTATAAAATACTACTGTTTTCTAACCTACATGTATTTCTGAGATCTTATTCCTTCAGAGCACATGAAAAAGAAACTGCAACAATGGATATATAAAAGATGAGAATAAAGTCAATCAAAAAATAAGAATCACAGGTATAAAGACTAGTTTTAGTAAGAAGAGTACATTGTAAGCCCTTTCTTGCTTTTTTGTTAGAAGAGTACAATTTGAGGACACAAAATAAACTTTAAGGGAAAACATAATCTTTTCTCTGAAACTCACTTCTCTTCAGGAAGGCCAATTATGAGCAACTTGTCAGATTCTTTCCAGTAAACAACTTGAACCAGTTTTTCACATAGGAAAAGGGAGGAACTAGAAAAATTAAACCAGAAATACTTCTGTTAACAGTATGAAGTTATAAAAGAGTTAAAAACAATTTCACTGAAGTGAAAATCCTACTAGTCACTGCTACCCACTACAAGGAAATTCCCCCATACCAATGTACCTGCAGGCTGAGCAGTCCAATTTCAGGCATGTTGTTCTAGTTAAAACGTTACTGCCTAAACAGGTTGAGTCACTCTGGTTTTGTCTATAACTTGACACATAACCCATGTTTGCTGTACATGTATGTATAAAGTAATAAAAATAACAATACATTACATTTCAAATACTTTTACCTGATAATCTCGGTACCAGTAACATTTTCCAGTATGTCAGACAGTGTGAGAAATATTCCTCTCACACTTTTCAGTTTTTGGGATGCTTCAGATATGGGGTACTGATAAAGAATTTCTTGCTGTGAAGAAAGTTAGCTGTTAGTTAAGCAAAGCAAAACCAATCCCCCCCCAAAAAGAATCCCCACAGAAAACAAGATAATTTTTTTTTGTGGTAACAGGGTTTTTTTTAAACATGAAAACTTTTCTCATATAGTTTCATTGGTAGTGAAACAAGCAGTGAGCTGCATGGGCATACTGGAAAGTTCTAAAATGCACGTGAATGTTTCTGACAGTTTTAAATTTTCTATTTTATAGAAAAGCACAACTAACTTAGAGTCATTATTACATGAAGAAGCATAAAACGACAAACAGTATGGCCACTGCATTTTAAAGCTTTAAGTACACTGTTACCAGTCTGATTCCAAGAGATAGGAAGAAATTCTTTATTGCCAGGGTGGTGACGCACTGGAACGGGTTGCCCAGAGAAGCTTGGATGCCCCATCCCTAGGAGTGTTCAAGGACAGGCTGGACAGGCTTTGAGCAACCTGGTCTAGTGGAATGTCTCCCTGCCCATGGCAAGCAGCTGAAACAAGACCATCTTTAAGGTCCCTTCCAACCCAAGCCATCCTAGCCTTCTCTGATTCTACTATTTGTATGGCTCTTTCTGTGTTTAAATTCTGATTTAAATCAGCATCAAACATACAGCTCTTCAAAAACAACAGTAAGAATATGAAAACTCCAGTCTCTCTATATAACCCTACCTAACTGCTTTACCTGTACAGCATAAAATATAACTGAGATATATACTCAAATAACATACGCCATTAACATTTCTCATGAAACCTCTGACCATCTGTGTCAACATATTCTTAAAACAGGTCATCTTGACGCTCGGTAAAATAAGTCATCTTAAAGCTCAGATAAATATTTGTGACAATTATTTTTATTTTTCTAACCAGTTTTTTTAAATAATCTTTTTATGCAAGCACTTTTAAAAATTTTGTATTATTTCAGCAACTGTAAAAATACAGTAATAGGCAAACACGATTCCTCGTAATTTATTGCTTTCTGCCAAATCATGATGGACCAAAAATAATGCATGTAGTATTAGGCATATCCACTGCAAAGAGTACAGTAAATTATCTTTTTACATGAACAACAGAAACATAAGCATGATTAAGTTCCCTATTTATGTCACTAAGCACATTCAGCCAGTGCCATTAGAAAATTTTCCTCATCAAGACTAAAAGAAGTTTCATTACAGAAGGACCTGGAAACTCTTCATTCTTATCCAATTTAATTAGCTCTATTTACAAATACTCATTAGTGACAAGGATCTTTTTTTCTGGAATCAATCCCTCAACTGCAGAAACCCTACTGTTTTCCAATTACAGCAGTGCAGAGGGCTAGAAAGAGCCTTTTTCCACCCCTCACTATGAACTGGGGCCTTTACACTGAATTAATTTGTGAATTAGCTGTACACTTTCCCAGGGAAAGAAAAGCCAACTGTAACAAAAGGGCAGAGCAGTATCACATCTGTATATACTGATTTAGCAAGGTTCAGCACATGCCACCATACCAGGTCAGCTGTCTCAAAAGCAAGCCCAAAGGTCACAGGCCCAACATAGTGGAACTAATAATAAACGACAAGCAGCTCATTCCTTAAAAAGTGTAAACCTTTCCTTAACCCAAAAATCCAGACCTGGACAGACTCCGAACTAATGGCTTCTAGTAACACTATCGTGTAGGAGGAATATGAACATTATTCCTTTTTAGACCTGGTATCACCAAAAATCAGGTCAAATGCAAAGATGTTATAGTTGCACACTAGTACGAATAATGTATAACTGTAATACTTACCTTAAACTAAAATCTAAAAAAGACGGGATCAATCTTACTGAAACTGTTGCCATCTGTGACACCCCCCACAGGCGTACACACATCCCAAATGATTTCCAACACTACTTTCTTTTAAAGCTGAATAGACAGAGCTTACAAGTCTTAAAGCTCATTAATTCTATTTTTAGGTGCCAAAAGCTCACAAGTGGAAGAATTAGCTACTAGTTCCAGTTGCCATAGTTTACATGGATGTGATCTGCATACCGTGCCTCCTTTGGATATAGGTAAAGCAGTTTAGTAAAGGATCATTATATTTTTGTTGTGCAATATGGCATGGGTGTATCATAACTTCAGTGTTAATTTAAAGTATTATATAAACTAAATTTGGGACAGTACATCTACAGGCTATAAGTTGCTTAATGTTCAGTAAAAAGACAAATGCCTTGAAGAAGGCAGCATTTTTTTTTGTAATGAAATGTTATAAAGAGCTTGATTACAGCAGCAAAACATCCCTCAACATTAGACTATTTGGGGCTGCGTAACTGCCAAGACTTCTCAGGGAAACAATTATTTCACGGTGTGAAGGGACATGTGCATTACAATTCCTCTTTTACCTCTGCTCAATGTTCAGGATTAATCCCGCTTCTTGGGAGAGCTTAAAGAAATAATGGGACAAGAAAGCAGTACTGGATCTACACTGCAGTGTAGGAATTGCAATTAGGCATTTGCATGTCTATTTCCCTACCAACAGAGGAGCCAGCGATCCTGAAATTATTTTTTTTAATATTTCATAAAGTTTATGGGATCAAGAAAATACTAGTCTTTAAGTCTACAACAACCATCCACAAGTGTTCTATCCACATAACATAGCAATCTTGGACTACTGAAAACTCAGAACTGAAGAAAAAGAGAAATATTTGAAATATGCAAGTGAACTTTGATAAAGAATCTTAAGTTTATTTAATTTACAGTTAAATGAGCTCTTTTAATTTTTATTGTAAGAAAATACTAAAGAAGAAAAACACTGTGATGTTGTATGTATTATGATATCATGTAATTTTTTAGGGTTCTCTTCCGAGCCCTGTCTCTAGAAAGTAAAATTAAACTCCATTATGTGCAGCTGTAACACTTCTTCTCTATCACACATCACTAACAGAACAACACAGACTTGTACCAGTTGAAAAATAGTATAAAGGAAGTAAAGATATTTCAGAGAAGGGATGGAGCACTGAGTGAATCTAAGGATAAATTCCAGGGGAAAGAAATCAAAATGTCTTTTTTCTGCTCCCCACTCCATCACTGTCCTGCCATCCCAGTCCCTGAGGACTGGCAAAACTTGTACTTTGTTTGATATCTCCTCATCACAGATAATATAAGATCACTGGGGCACAATGCTAAATTTGAGAATTCACACAAGGGGAGAAGAGTCTTTTTCCAAAAGTTTGTCCCTAAAAGTCTACTTTGTCCATTTGTCATTTTTAGATTAGGCAAGAGGCCAAACTCAGCACCAACCCTCCCCTCCCGCCCCCCACCGCCCTCGCACTGCTCTGTGTCCCGGCATTAAGAGGAGTATCTGTAGCTAGGGCTACATCATGGACAACATCTACACAAACTTACAATGGCTTACATCTACACTGGCAAAATTTTTCTGAACACAGAAAGGAAAGAGATGTGAAAGGAAGCTTTACAGGACAAAGGGAAAGTACTTCAGTAGCTCTAAACCGCTGCCCCAAGCAAGAATCAGCGCTGATTGCAAACAGCAGGCAGGCCAGAGTCCTCTAAGAAAAGGCACATTAGCATTTCAAAACAGGAGCCAGACAGATTATGAATGTGGACTGCCAACATCTCCTGCTGGGAGAAATTCTTTTGGCTCGGCAGATTCCACAGTTCCAAGTTGGAGAGGCGTTGAAAACACCCCGTCCAGCATGTGAGAGAGGACACGAGACACAACACTGCACTGGTGAACATACCTCGGCTGTGCAGTTACACCTCTGGCCTCTCCTCATGTGCTGACCTGAACTGAGTTTAGGTCCAATTAGACTTTGTCAGCACTGATGCTATTTTTTATCCCTCTGGAATTTCAGGCCTTATTTCTGCCAAAAGGGACATTTTGCAGATGACTCACTACTCAAAACATTTAGCAAGATTATTTATTTATTCATTTATTTATTTAACATCAAATGTCACAGCAGTTGCTGTTGTCAGTTGTCATTTCACTTCAGATTTATTCAGTCAGCCACATACCTCATCCTTGGATGTTTCAGAGTCCAGTTTCAGTGTGAGGAACATGACAATATGAGGCACGTCCTGAACAGCCTGCTGAAGGTCCGTACTGTCTTCTCCCCACAGGAGCCGAACCAGATTGTTCATACTTGACTGTGCCTGTTTGTTCATTTGCTGAGAAGTTACTTCAGGCTCAAATACTGAGGTTTCAAATGTAAGTTTAACCTATTAAGATAATTAATTATTGTGAAAACCAGGCTGTACTTACAATTATGTCCCAACATCAAATGAAAGAGATGTAGTTTGAGCCCTTTAAGAGATTAAGTTTTCTCAGCTTACTGACATGTAAGCACACAAAAGTTCCTCCTGTTTCAAGAAAACCAACTGTACATTTAGCATCATATAACCATCTATTACAAAGGACAAAGCTAGCTATTACATGCTCTATGAACCATGTGAGTAAGCATGTGGTTTGCTGTGTTTTCATGCTTAATTCTTATGGTCTTGAGAATGGAAAAATATACTTACTTTGAACGCAAAACCTATACTACCCTGACTTTGAAAAACACATAATATTTGACTTCTTTCGAAACGTCAGCACTTTCCTAAGTATATATCCTCAAGGTTCTTTCTGGACCACTTCTTTGCCATTTTGAGTGCACAGGAAAATTGGTTTAAATTTACATTAGACTGAAAAAGTCTGTTAAATTGTAACAGTAGCAATTCTTTCAATCTTTCATTTTCACCATGTTAATTTTTTTAACTGTAAAATCAGCATATAAGAGTTCTGTTGCTGTATTTAACAATTCACACAACTACCAAGCATAAAAATTGTTTACATACTTTGCTGTGCTGTCTTTAGAAGAAAAAAAAAGATCAAAGCACAGAGTATCCTCTCTTAAATAACAAAAGTTTAAATGATCAAGCTTACTTTGCCAAAGAATTATGTTTTCTGTCTTTATTTTCAAAATAAAGTAAAAACCAGGAAGAAGAAACACATATTTCCTGACTAACAAGCAACACATAATCCAAACTATGTTGAAATATGTTTCAGAATTTGCTTTATATTTTTCATACCTTTTATTATCACTGCCTTACAAAAATTATGTTTGCTAGTTGTTCCGGCAGTGATGAAAGAGCAATTTTTAAATTTTTTTGTGAATGAATGCTGATATCCTAAGTATGAAAGAAGGAGATGTGAGAAACATTTAGCTCTTGACTGAGCATGAAATTGTCATTTCCAAGGAGAAAAACTTGATTTATTTTCTCGGATGATACCTCAAGTTTTTATCAGTGTTTAAAGTGACTGAAGACATATTTGGACTAAGCAGGCATGCTCTCAGTTCCCCTTTCATATGTTTTACTCAAGATGGTTTGTCTACCTTAAAATAACCGTAACATGCCTATTGACTGGGAATTTCTGAACATAACGCATCACACCAAATCCTGCTTCTCTGTTAAGTCCGTGACAGCTTAGCCTAAGGATTGATGCAACAAAAAAGTTTATATTGTCCCAGTTGCAATAAAACTGAGAAGCCCAGGCAGAGGTAATTTATACATTTAAAGGGAGATCATTCTCATTTTCATAATTTTGTATGTGTATGCACATATTTCAAGAGAGGAGTGCCAGCAAGAAATAAGGCTGCTTTAAAACACCCAGGGCCCATCAAACTGGCTTGGAGAGAAGTGCTATCATCAACTCTTACAGCTACAACATTTATGTCATTGGCTGCCACCTTCCCATTCCACTCCACTTCTCTCCTATTTTGGCTGCTATCAGCTTTTTTCTCTTTTCTCTTCCTGTTCCCTGGAACAGCACTGCCCTCCATCCTGCTCTCCTGCCCTGTGCTACCCCTGTCTTTTCTTACAGTCACTCATCCCTCACCCTCTCATCATCAATTTTGATTCCTTACACTGCACATAACAGGGCTTGAGGAGCAGAAATATTCAACTAAGAAGCAGCTGCTTTTTAAGACCCAGTAACTTGATAGTTCACAGTTGCAGAGGTGTATGTTTTCTTCTCCAGCATTTTGTGATTCAGTTCTCTTTCTTTCTCATGCCATCTGCATATATTTCAGAGCATTTTCCTCATATCCCGTTTAACTTTTTGCAGATTTCCTTAAGGCTCAATAGTTATTTCTCTTAACTTCTATTACATCTTGTCTGTGGACACTTATACATGACACTTAGGCTACAGTCTCTACATTAATGATGCACAGATGTAATTCTTGCTGCAATCTTTTAGTCTCTCAGTTTTTTAAAAAAATAAACTCAGTCTGTCTTGTCGTAAAGGCATCACCGTATGGTCCTCCAGGGAAGAGCTCAAAACAAACTGGGCCAAACAGAACTGTCCCTCCTCCTGGAGGCATCCATGCTGCCTCCCACATCACTGTAATAGAAAAGGAACAAGAGACTGTATTTCTACGTACCCTAAAACCTATTTTTTTTTTGTGGAGGAGAAATGAATCTTCATTTTGAGCAGTGCACCGGACCTGATTAAGTATGACTACTGAAGTTCCCTTTTATAAGTACTGACTATGAAACCTTCCATAGCTTTGATTCCATTTCTCCTAAAGACAATCAGATCAATGCACAGCAGAAAAACAGAAAAGGAAATGACAGAAAGAATGGGAAAAGCACAGAAAACATTAGTATTCTACTCTATATGTCATGCCCACATTCTCAATGCTTAGAACAGTTCTCAAAAAGAATTTAATCAAATGGCAAAAAGGAACTGATGAAGGTGGCAGGAACAGAAAACTGTGAGGGACATGGATGGGAATTTTCTGCTTAGAAAATATGTGACCAAAGTGGAACGTGACAGAGTTCTCCTAAGCCACACAATGATATGAAGAGTAAGACGTGAACAGTTAACTTTTTCTAATAACACAGAAACATTGGGGTATAAAATGCACTTAATTAGATGGCAATTTGAAGAACATAACATAAATCAGGTACATAAAATCACTGCTACAGGATGCTGTGGAGGTCAAAGGAATTTTAAGAACTAGACTAACAAAAAAGAATGTGCAAACCTGTAAGTGACCCTAACTATTAACTGCTGGAAGCTGGAAAATAATGATTGGAAGGTCACTCTGTTATTTGTTTCTTAATACTCTTATACATTTGTCAGTATAGAAAGAGAAAATGTAGCTGTTATACCATTCGTCTGCCGCAGAAAGGCATGATTTGTGTTCATCTGCAGGAAAGCGTATGGCTGAGAATATGGATTTTATTACAGACAGAGCTGGTGGCATGGTCTGCATTTTAAAAACTGCCTGCCATTTCCTGTTTTAAGGCTCTATTTTCCATGTGCTTACCATTTGCACAACTGTAACTCAAAATTTCAGGCTGGAATTTTTGATTCTGACTGTCTGCCTCAGGCTGAATATTTTTAGAAAGTTTTGGGTAAAATGGTTCTGCAACTTCTGATTATCACAGTAAGGAAGAGTATATTCTTTTAGCATATCTTGCCCTTCCTATTCTGTCTTCTGGTGCAAGGAAGCAGCAGCTATTTTGATTACAGAAAGGGAGAAAAAGAAGGACTGATGTAGCATTTGGACTTCTATTGCTCAATAAATTTACTAAACTAGCCCTTACGTGCCTAGATCTAGTTGCCTAAACTGAGGCAAAGAAAACAAAATTCTGGAAATATAATAATGAATTATGTTATGTCACATGCTGAAACTGAGAATATAGGGAGTTAAGTTTTTAAATTAATTCCAGCGATTTTTAACATTGAATTCAGAAGAGCAGGGACTTCTCTTATGGAAATAACTTGTATTTAAGTAACAAGTCTTGAAACTGCTTCTTATTTGATATTTTGCAATGCAAGATGAATGAGAATACATTAACAATTCTGCATGTATTACAAAATCTCAGATACAACAACCCTCTGTTTCTTTAGCAGCATGAACACAGTGTTCTACTCTGCAAAAAAACTCCTGTATTTAAATCTCCTCTGGTCTATTCCAGCAGTCATTCTACTGGCTTGACTCAAACTGCACAGCAAAAAAGGAATAATTGCACTTTAATAAAAGGGTTTGGAAAGCCAACATGCCAAACTGTTACACATTTCAAATAATTGCTGTCTACTTGACAGATTTACTGACAATTTAAACATTAACATTGCATTAAAAGTAACTACTCTATAAAGGGCTGCACTGTATTTTACCAATAAGTAATACATATACTCTAATCTAGCAAGGATACTATTACATAAACTATATAATCTCTGCTTTTTTAATCATTCTGTATTTAATAGCAGTTACAGTAACTCCATATTTGGTCAAAGACAGACAAGACAAGGTTTTTCTCGCATGGAGCTCTGCCAATACTTGACCACAACTCTGGTAGCTTCATACTGTCAAATATCTTGGAAAGCTTCCTGAACTGACAACCCAGTACTCAATCTCACTGCAGTTACACATATAGTTCCACAGGCACTTGCACTACATAAGTTGCAAACAGAGGCATGTTTAAGAAAATCTAAAATTTCCACTTTTTATCTCTGGACTGTAAAACATTTCTACTATCATCATCACCTCGTCTATTCTACCTCAAGAAAAACTACCAAGAGACACTACAATTTTTAAACTGCTCCTTCTCATATCTGTAAGTTGCAACTTTTATTTTGTCTTCCTGTCCACCAGGAAGTGGATTTGCACAAAATAATGCAAAATACTAAATTTTATGCTATTAACATCCTGTATAAGTAGCAACTCTCCTGATTTAGCTCTGAAGTAGGTATGTAATTATTTATTAGTTATTTAATTCTTCGTTATAGTTCCAAAATTATTATTCAGCTAGAAGAAAAGATATATGCAGCAGGTTTGGAGGGAAGAAACATTATTCATCAGGTCAGGTTTTTTGGATTTTTTTTTTCTATCAACTTTTATTACTGGTTTCTATCAATTTTCATCACGGTTAAGTTTTGAAAGATCCTAAAGTATTTAATCTAAAAACTCTTAAAATCTCGAGATTTCTTTCTATTTAAATATTAAAGTAGTATCAATTTCTCCATTTAAGTGCTCTTAAATATTTTAATGGTACTAACTTATTAATTCAGGCTTGCTTTTATTCTCTCGTGGTTTGTAAATCTTGTTTATATTAATGAATATATAATTATTTTAGTTAAGTATTTCCAGAGCAATTATTACCATTTTAAGAACAGTTATTGACAAAAAAGACCCACTACTATTTTGTTGACATATTTATATTTAAGCTAGACATCAATATCTTGCTTCATGCATGCTAGTGCTGCACATCTCCAGCCCTAAGTTCTGTTTCCTCAGGAAAAAAAGGCTAGAAACAATATTAACATTTACAGAGGACATTCGGAATAAACGTTCAACTACTATACCTGCATAGGACCTGGAATGCAAGACAAAACCCTTTCTATATTTTCAGAATTCACATCGACATCATTGACAGCAATTAAAGCATCTCCTGGAGGTGAAACAGACAAAACATGAGGAAGTTAGTTGGTATCACACCACAATACACAGCCAAAGCGTCTTGTTTTAAAAATTAGTATGACATTCAAACAGTCATAAATGTATATTTGTTACATTTAAGAAGATGATTTCTACATGCAACATTTACTGTGTTTAGAAATATTAGTCTTGCACCTCAATGCTCTTAAGGCCTTACTGCCATGCTTGTATCATTTTACAAAAATCACTGAAGCACGGAATGGTTTGGGCTGGAAGGGACCTTAAAGACCATCCAGTTCCAACCCTGCCTGCCATGGGCAGAGACACATTCCACTAGACCAGGTTGCTCAAAGTCTGTCCAAGCTGTCGTTGAACACTTTCAGGGATGGGGCAACCACAGCTTCTCTGGGCAACCTGTTCCAGTGCGTCACCACCCTCATAATGAAGAATTTCTTTCTAATACCTAATCTAAATCCACCCTCTTTCAGTTTGAATCCATTTCCCCTTGTGCCTTCACTACAAGTCCTTGTAAATACTCTCTTTCCATCTTTCTTGTAGGCTCCCTTCTGTGACTGGAAGGTCACAATTAGGTCACTCCAAGGCCTTCTCTTTTCCAGGCTGAACAAACTCAATTCTCTCAGCCTTTCCTCATAGGAGAGGTGCTCCATCCCCCTGATCATCTTGGTGGTCCCCCTATATAGCAACTGTCCAAGTTTCTTCCTTCCACCCAGGCTTATATTACACTCCTGTTCCTTTACCAGAAAACACAACAATTTCATCAATCAGGTTATTTCCCTTGCCCTGCTCTGAAACCACCTCTGTTCACTTGCCAAGCCTTCTCCAGTGCTACTGCCACTGATAAAAACACTGTTTCCAGAAGCACTCCAAAACTCACTCTTCCTGTAGCAATTTACAAGTTCTAGGCCATCACTTACACCAAAGATTTCAAGTGTTGGTTGAGCCTAACTCTGGAAGAATCTCACCACCCTGAGCTCCCCTCTTTGAAGAAGTCCTGGCAGTTATTGTGCACATTAGTAACTCTTAGCTTAGTTCACTGAACTGGCAGAAAACCATTCATTCTTCCTCATTTCTCCTTCGTCTCTCAAGCCACACCACAATTTAGTCCTTTCCCTTCTTTTCCATTCCTTGTCCACTGCTGTGGTTTCTTATTCTGCTCTCTCCATACTTTTATCTGCCCATTCTTCCTGCCTAACGGCATCTTGCGTTTTCTACATCTGACACTCTTACCGTCACTGGGAATGGGAAAAAACTCAGGATCCCAAAGAAAAAGTCATTAACTGCAAATGGAAAAGCTTTGAAAAATTAAGGGCACCAATCACAAAAACAAACAGAACCAAATTAGAGCTTACAGACTTAAAATCAACATTCAAGTTTAAAGTACAAACACCAAACTGGGATTTCTCTCTGAAGGAAAATATTCTCAAGAAGTAACCCAGTGATAATTAGTTGATAACCTCTGCCTCATCCCCCTCAGAAAGATGCATATTTAAGCACAGTGTGCAAGAAAAATATGAGACCAGTGGAAAAGGAAACCAACCTGTGAAGTTAGAAAACATAAAAGTAAAATAACATCAAAAGATAAAACTATATAGACCTGTCAAAAGAAATAGAAATTGCAAAGTCAAAATAGAAGGTTTTTTACCATTCATCTACTTTCATTAAGAAAATAAAAAAAGGAAGCAGCATTAAAAAAGGATACATATTAAAGATATTTTAGCTGTGGTAGCGGTAGACTAAACCCAAAGAATTTGATTACTTAAGCTGGCAATTTAGAACATCAGTCCAGTGCTTAAGGTGAGATTTTTGGTTGAACCTAAGTCAGAAAAACTCTCACTAAAAGGACAGTCCTTCATGGTTTCTCCATCTGAAGCTGGAAGCACTGTTCAGTATAAAAGACAGACTATATCACAGAGGAAGAAACCAACAAATATTACTGGAGTAACAGAAATATAATGGAATTAAATAGGATATTCATTCTCAGGAAGGTAGCCAAGTAACATAAAACACAAAAAAGACAAACGTAATACTTGGATGCATCAGAAAAGGCCTTTCCTTAGAAGGTAGGTAAGTGATCCCATAGAGTCCTCCTTACAATCTGTCGTGATTAGATGAGGCAGCATAAATTCATGACAAGAATTATATGAGGTGACTGCCAGTGGCACTAGGATATAGGATTTGATGCTTCATTAGGTCCTTTCCTGAGCCCAATATTCAACTTCAGAGTAACAAAATAGGTCTTTATTTTCTACTTGATTTTCTTTGGTGTCACTTTCAGTTGTCTCTGCTTTCTCTCCTATTGGGTGAAAAACCTGCTTAGTTTTTAGGTGGTACCTTCTGTCTGTAGAAAGGGAAATAAAGAAATTAGCTTCTTAACACTGAAAGTCACTTGATTTTAAGGTCATTCTTATGTGTGAACTAAAAATACCAAGAGCTCCTCTGGAAGAGCAAATTGAAAATCAAGCCTCATTTTGCTTCAGCTGCACAAAGACTCCCTTAAACTACCTCCACATCCTTTCCAAGATTATTAATATAGTGTTCATCACTCAGGCAGTGTAAAGACATTAGAAAAAGGATATGGATTTGTAGCAAATGTGCATGTTAGTATAATTATATTTTAAGCCTTCACTTGGCAACGAAAATGTGAGTAACTGCAGAAATAAAAGTACTGAACCACAGTAAGGTTCAGTATGTTTTTCAATTTTCAAGGGAGAAGACTTGCTCAGCTCAAACTGACACAGTGATGGTAACAACATGCATACTAAGGAAAAGCACAACCTGTGGCTCTAAGGTCTCTCCATTTCCTGAGAATCTGCTAAAGGCCACAGAATGTGAAAGTTTAGAAGAATACTGACACTTTATCATTATTTCTATGTTCTACTTTCTTGTTAAGTACCATCAAATGCAACGGGAATTCTTCCCAAGTACAAGGTTGATTGCTCCAAATCAGTGCAACACACAGTTAATGAAAGAACATTCTTCTTAACTAACCAGCACTAAAGAAATACTGAATTCCCCAAAAATGCAAGCAATATTCCTCTTTAATACACCAGACAACAACCAACCACTCACTCTTATTTACATTAAAGAAAAATTCATTCCTACTCTTTCTGACAGCAAAACCAAGAAAAGGTTAAGTTGTATTATATACATAAATAAGTTATCTCCCCTTGGAATAAGTTAAATTGGTTTTTCTCTTTCAGTAATAGTAGCTCTCTCACTAACCTATGTGTTTCTTGATGCACAGTACAGTGAAGTTCTAGCCTATCGAATCTTCAACACAACAGTAATTCGAAGATAGAGAAGTTGAGACTTAAAAAGCATTTAAAAGCAATTCACTAAGTCCATGCCAGAGGTCAGAGACTTGAAAATTAGTAATGAAAGGCAGAACATTCAGGCTACTCTAATATAACAAGAATTATAAACAGAATTATTATGTTCTTTATTAAGAACATTATATTAAATATCATCACTCACAACTACAAAAGAAAGCATAAACTGCTCTTCTACTTAACTGAAGCACTGTTTAAACAAAAGTTCTTTTGTGTTCTGTTTGTTTAGTAATTTCTAGAGACCTTAGGAATTCTGTTGTAAAGAGAACAGTCATCTGATTCACAAAGCCATTCAAAGGAGCTGCACACACTTTGTGAAGCCATATGCACCTTAGCACTTTTGAAAGAAGAGCCATCACTATTTACATGTTACATACTCAAAGTGTCTTGCCACTGGCTGCCGCAAGAGAGGAGCCCCGAAGAAATGATACAAAGACTCCCTGAAACAACATCTCAGCCTTGGCCATATTGATCACCATAACTGGTCTACTCTGGCCTCCAATCGGGAGGCCTGGAGACACACCATCTATAACGCTGCTGATGCCTTTGAGAACGCCCGCAGGATCACTCTTGAGGAGAAAAGACAACGCAGAAAGAATCGTGTCCTGCAGAATATACCACCTGAGGAGTCTTTCTGTTGTGCCTTTTGCAATCGGACATGTCTATCTCGCATTGGCCTTATTAGCCACCAGCGTGCTTGTAACAAATGTGGATCGAGCCTTTCCCAAATCTTCGTTTGCAAAGCCCAGCCATGATGATGATGATGATGACTCAAAGTGTATTATTTAGTGTATCCCTAAGGCACGTATGTAAAACTTTCATTGCAGCAATAAATATTTATTCCATTCAATTAGTAAAAAATGTAATCACATACCATAAATGGAACAGCTTTCCAGAAGACACAGACAAAACAGTCCTGTAAGGCTGCCTTCTTTCTGCCTGAAAATACTATGTCACTATCAAGGAAGAGCAACTTAGTGATATATAGCTGAGAAAATCTATATGCATCAGTATGGACTTTCTAGAATTGGGGCTGAGAGGTGGTGGGGGAGAGCATTTGCATTTTTTCCTTCTTTTTGCCAAACACAACAGTATTCAAAGAATAGAGATTATGAAGTAACAGAATAAACTACATCACTAGGAAAAGTAAGAAGTATGTAAAATTATGAATACCGAATATCTTTAAAGTAGGACATGACCAAGACCTACCCAGTGTGATAATTGCAGTGAAAGAGTTTATACACGCAAGTTAACTTTGTTAGAGCTTCCCATCTACATTTTATTTGAGAATTATCTTCTCTCCTTTAGCAGTGTGAAAAACTTTCAGACAGTGAGACTAACTTAGGTCTTTAGACATTAAGTATGTAAAAAAAAATTGCACAAATGTATAAAGTTTAATCTGATTTCACTTAATGCTCAACCAATTTAGGTTAAATGAAATAAAAGTCTAAATAGCGATTGCAATTGTTTAAGTTCATCTAACTCGATAGTCTGCAGAGTCAATTATCCCAGACTAAATATTGGTGAATTACAGATGTAGACAGAAACATTAGGAAAAAAAAATCTTAGTTCCATTTTTAGAGACACATTGAGCAACTACAATAGAGGAAATGAATTATCTTCAGGCAGCTCCAAGATATCAGACCATGAGTTAACAAACTTATTGTTAGAAAAAATATATGTCCTTCTGAAAGAGAGTAGATTTATATTAGGTATTAGGAAGAAATTCTTCCCTGTGAGGGTGATGAGGCACTGAAACAGGTTGTCCAGAGAAGTTATGGATGTCTCACCCCTGGAAGTGTTCAAGGCCAGGTTGGGTAGAGCTCTGAGAGACTTGGTGTGTTGCTAGATCATCTGTAAGATCTCTTCAACCCAAACCATTCTATGGTTCTCAGTCCACATAGAAGCTGTAAGATACCCATAAATGTTCTCCACACAATGTTAAGCACAACTGAATTTTACTTGATTGATAGAAAAGAAAGAGGTGAGGCAGGAATTCTTTCCTGTTTTATTTGTTCTGTCTTGCCATCTTCTCATGAGAAGAGACTTCTCCCATCCAGTCAGCAGCAGCTCCGAACAGTGTGTATTGATCTCAAACACCCAGTTTAAACACAGCTGACGAAATTATTCCTGCCTCTTTAAAGACTAAGTTTAGAAAAGTCTTTGGCACTGTTGACATCCCTAGAATGTTTATTTCAGAACTGCCTATCTCTTTACCACATGAGGCAAGGCACAGGACTGTTACTTCTGTTAACTATCTATTCCCTGGTGATAAACCTGCAAGTACCATTTCTAAAAGCAGATCTGTATGCATGTTCCTTATGTATGTATGTCCCTTAATGCATTAAGCTAAGGGACAATGATTGGTGATCCTTCCATACTGTGATGGAAAATGAACATTTGTTCTGAATCAAGTTGTTCACATGGGAGAGGACAGAGGACACTTTTGTCATGGAGTCCTAGTATTTGGTTTCCCCTGTTCTTGGTAATGACCTGGTGAAAGTATGCACAAAAGTTCACATACTCCTTTCCAAAAAAGGCAAACTATGGAACGCATTCCTTCTGAAGAAAGCCAGATCAATTACTTGTTTTATATGTTAGCAGGCTGCTTCTGCCCAAACCAATGCTGCTATGCTTCAAGAGAAGATTAAAAGAATATAAATCATATCCCAAACACCACAGTGAGAACACAGCTAAGCTTATGCAAGCTCTGTGTTTCCATCTTGCATGCCCGAAGTCTCTGCTTTGGAGAGTCTTCTCCAGAAATACACCATGTAACTCCACATAAAAATCTTGAACTCTCACCATATTTTGGTCCTTTCAAGGACGTATTTTCCTAACAGGACTCTAAGGATATAGACTTCTCACAAGAAACAGCAGCCTGTAGCTTTTGCATGCCTGTTCAAAACTGGATTATTAGAGTCCATTTTTACTATCATCCACAACTAATTGCTGTCCCTGAGGAGTTTTCACTTTTTCTGACAATTGCACGTACTGATAAGGTGACAAGATTCCTGCTGAGATATTTGGTGATGAGAGTAGTAAGATAGTTTCAAAGAGGGTAACAATAGTATGCTCTGCTAGTGACAAGAGCTTTGCTGTACTTTCAGTGTGATTGAAATTACTTTTTCATTTGTACTATAGTAAAGATGATGCTCATCAGCATTTACAAGAAGTTTTCCCTGCTGTGAGTAGGACAGATTTCAACTCGAAGGGGGACAGGAAGCAAATCATAACAGCATTTCCTATCATACCCCTTATTTGTCTGGATCTAAAATTGAGTATTTTGGGGACATTTTCCTTTTTGAAAATACACTCAAAGACAAAATTAGAAAGTTCTCCATAGAAGACCAAGCTTTGTATATTGTTGAAAATTAAGCAAAGAAAATGTTTTGCCAAAAATACAAAAGACACTTTAAAAACATGAGATAAAAGCAACTATATTTCATCTTAACCAAAATGAAATTGACAGCAAGAGTTTAAAAATCAGTGAGGGCTTTTCCGTTTTGAAAATTTAAGATGGATACTGAACTGCTAAATATTAATAAAAAAAGATAAATGAACTGATAAAAAACACATGGATGGAGTGCCATCTTTTTAGAGTTACGAAGCAGCAGGGTTTTTTAAGCTTGAAAAACCATTGTATTTACTTTCATATGGTCAGTGTCTGCATTCTACTTGGTTAATAAAGTACAGCAAAAAGACTTATGACTTCCATATGCAATCTTGAAAACAAAAATTAAAGTGCAGTGCACAAATAATAAACAGATGTTTTAAGTGTTCAAAGCTATAAGGGATACACATTTCAAAATAAATAAAAGAAGTCATCTGAGGAAAGTGATTATTAAGGATGGAAAAGGTGGCTATTTCTACTAAAAATGTTAAAGCAATAACCACTTTGTGAGTCAAAATGAGCGCTGCAAACTGGTCACAAGGAAGATCACTGGATGTCATTTAAAGCATGTATTTTAAAAGGAAAATATGGTTTGTATTTGCCTCACGGAAGACTACAAAAACTGGTCTGCACCACTGGAGGCCATTAAAATACTAAAAAGCAAAACAAGAACAGGTTAATGTCTATGCCTACACATGCAAATGAAAATGAACAGAGTTATAACCACACCAGCCAGCAGGTACCATGCTGTACTGATCAGATATTCCTCATTTGTGATAGCTCAAGAAGCTGATCACTTTTGTGCTAATTCTTCAATTTTAGCCTGACCACAAAAATATTCTTTATTGACTGTTTCCGCAATTCAGAACAGGATTCCTAAAACCTACTTTTATCAACAACAACAGGAAGGCAAAGTTCTACTGTATGTTTTTGAACTTTCTGTCCAACCTTAGCTCTTGTGAGGATCTACTGAACTACAGTTGCTTCAAAACCAGGCTTTGGGTGTATACCACAGCTATCCCATCCTCTGATGTGCAATACAGATGCAGTAAACCAGATAGTTTTTGACAAGAACAAAAATTTTACTGTATATTCTTTAGGCAGACAGCACTGAAATCTGAGCATCTAATTCATGCAAAGCATCTCTATTTCTAGACACCACATAAAAATCCCAGAGTACTCAACTTCACTATAGAGACATAGTTTGAAAGTATTTTTATATGAAAATTATATATTTTATACTGTTGGCACTGAATACAGCTCATTTTCCTAGTTAAGAGCTGAATAACTCCAGTACGCTTAAAACTATTTTGTTTTCAATGTGCAAAACCAAGGCAAGGGTTGGGGATAGCCTAGGACACACTAAACTGCAAGACTCTTTAGATTAAGGTAAATTTTCTTCTATTTGAAACAAAACAAAAACCCCACAGATTTTGTCCTCACTAGCTCTGTGAATCAGTAAGTGCGTTAGATGAAATACTATCTCTGTTTAGGTTCACTTGATCTCCAGGATCTGGAGTGCCTACACTGTTTTGACTTCACACTTGCTCTTATGAACAGGCTAGATACAAATTTGTGTCCCAAAATTAACTTAGAGGTTATAAATACACAGTCTTGCACTAATTAGATTAAATACCATTAAACAGATCAAACTCATTCACTCCTCCCCCTCAATCCACATTCCCCACTTCTTGACTAATCAGTTCTTGCTGGCAAAATGTGAAAGTTATCCAGTTTTCCCTCTGGAGTATTCTTTAGGATCCCTACCAAAAACACGTGCTGGAAGAATCAGCTAGTCAAAGCACGATTTGCCTTTTTACGCACACAACACTGGAATTTCAAAAGAACTCATGCTGACTTTGTGGGATTTGTGCTACTATAGTATTAAGATTTCATGATCTTCTAACCAACATCACATCTTTGCTCTCCTGCTCCATGAGGGACCAACTTCAAGGGGAATTAAACAACCTTCCACCCTTTGCAGAGGTGGTCTGGTTGTCTCACATTTACTGTCTCCAAGGTTGGTGTCCTGTGAGTGCCAAGTCCTTTTAATGGCCTCAATTAAAGTGGAAGTATTTCTGCTCCCTCATTTTCACTCCCAGCAGTTCATTCCTCTCAATAATTCACATCTAGGTGCTTGTCAGACCTTCTGTGACCCAGGTTTAATGTACTACACCCACAAAAAACAACACAGCCAGTTTTTCTTTGGGGTTAGTTTCCTGCCAGGTTATTTAGTTGTATCAGCTCAAGGAAGCGTCTGATGAGCCAAACCAACGCAAAGAAGAGTGAGTAAGCTGGCTCACTGCCTTCCTAAACTGCAGCACCACTATAGATTTGGAGTCTCCTGATCACAACTGCTGAGGAAGCAGCTGTTAGACTCGCTAAACAGAAAAATAACCAAACAAGGCTGTGCAGAAAATTTGTAACATATATCTTACTTGGTATTTTTTCCTAATTTTTATGATACAAAATCCATTTAAAGGATATACGGTAAAGCTTTTCATCCAAGAGGGATGATGTTGAAAAGACTGAAAACTAAATACAGTATTTGGCAGACTATAGGCTTTCCCCAGGCCCACTTATCTAGGGATTAAATCCTGCATTAAATTAAAGGGGGGGCGCTGGTGGTGGAGTATTTCTTGCTCCATGTTCAAGCTGCTCAATCCCTGTACACTAAGGGATAGTTGTCTCCTTATTGTAGTAACACCTTTTATGTTATGCCACATGTTCTTAAAACCACTAATACAGTAAAATTTACTAGGTAACAAAGCATCAGATGCCATGACATTGATTTGAAATTATCCCTCAAGACCTGATGTAACTGCTTATGTCTCAGGAATATTCAAATCAGCTGCTTCAAAAAGCAAAAAAACCCGTAAGTCTTCATTTCAACGGAAGATTGCAGAAGTTGACTATTCCTCTGATTACTTACCGATCAAGATTTGACCTGTTTTCACTGCAGAACTACCTGGCACCAAGCCATGTACCACAAGCTTCTCTTCACCAACTCCTCTGATGACTTTATCCTTCCTGCCTTGTTTCTCCACTCTTCTGCTGCTCCATGAGGACTGATGGACAATTCCCACTAAGGCCTCCAGCAGCCTCTGCTGCTCCTCTTCTCCAGCACTGTACAGTTTTCTGGGATTTACATAAACATACACATCTTTGTACTTTTGTGGAACAGTGACACCCATTTTCTGTGTGGATGGGTGTTTCAATATGGAAGTAGGACCAGTGGAGTGCACATTACAGCTTCCACTGCCTTTCTTACCAGAATGCTTTGGTAAAAGATTTTTCTTTTTTAATATTTTGGTCCATTTCTTCAGTTCATACTTTCTTTCCTTTCGTGATTCCTCTTGAATAATTTCAGCTTCATTTTCACGAAACCTGACATGATTCACTGCTGGCATTTCTGGACAGCTGTTCTGGAACAAAGTTTCTTCTTCACTTTCACTCAATTCTAAATAAAATAATTCCCCGTTTTTCTGCACACCATCCAACCATTCAGGCTCAAGATCACTGGGAAAGAAAGAAGAATGATCAGTGACAGTTCTGATAAGGAAGACTGCTATGCAAGTGACATCTGATTGTTTTAAGTAGGAAGGGGACAGAGTGTGCAAGGGATAAAAAAAGGAAAAAAAATAGTTGCCTCCTGAACACTGACAGTTCAACTGCTTAAGTTTGCCATAAGGATTAGTGCTTGTCTTAGACAAATGATGGAAATGGCAAGGAAAGACACCCCTCCCAGAACTTAAAATAGTTTCTTCAAGTGCCTTACAGAAAAACAGCCATTGCAAAAAGCAATATTCCCTTTTCTGAAAACAAACAACAAAATACAACCACAAACTTGTTTTAATTAGTAATTACATTAATGGGCATGATGGGGCTTTCTCTTGGAGAAAAAATGCCATCCTATTTGTTCTCTCATATTATTTTTGCCTTTATAATGTAATCACGGTGTGATTTTGGGGGTTGTCCTGTGCAGAGTCTGAAGTTGAACTTGATGATTCTTGTAGGTCCCTTCTAATTAAGGATGCTATGGGAAGACAGATTGTACTGTCAGCTTTTTGGCAAGACAAGATTAACATTTTAAAGTCACTTAAATTTAACAAAAAAAATCCCAAAACAACACAACATGAAATCTAGGTAACACTTTTTAAAAGTCAAGTTCCAAATAGCACATTCACGCTCACATGCAAAAATACACACTAAAAAGATGCAGCACTGCTATAGAAACAGTTCTGACAGCTGGAGTGGATCACTTTAAGTCACAAGCAACATGCTGCTGCAAAGCAAAGGCAAAGCGGCTCCACAATGTATTACCAAAAGTATCATCTGCACAGCACAAAAAATTTTATGTCCTAATTTGGTAACAATAATATGTCAACCATGTCCAGTTTCAGATAGTACATTTTAAGAAAGATGGAATAATTGGAACATATCCGCAGCACAGAGACAAATAGTAAATAGTGTATAAACATGTTTTAAAGGGAAATAAACTGAAGAAAATCATGCTCTTTCGGCTGAGAAAAAAAACCAAACCAACCAGAAAAAGGGTTGCTGAGAGGCAACAGGCCAAATGAACCCCAAGGCGAACCACCAAATGTTACAACAGGATGAGGATCAATAAGTAGGAGTATTTAGCATTTTAATTATCTAAAATGTTCTGTACGGAAGACTTCCAGAAACAGACAAAGACAGTTCATTCATCCCAACTAGATAACAAACAGGTCTCCGTGCTTCATAAAAATCATATAAGGAAAAACTATGTCGATGATTTACATCAGAATTCATCTCATTCATCGTTTAAAGTTAACATACATTTTATACTAGAACTAATTTTACAGAATAATGAGTGTGAGTTGTGTTTAGAACTAGAATTAAATAATTCAAATAGTGCATTAATTTGAGAACAGTTAAATGAAACAGCTTCAAATTATAGCTGAACAGAGAACACTATGCAAAGACATTGCACCATAGCACCTTTAAGGGCTCAAAGAAAAGATCTGGTTGGACTAAGAACATAGAAAACATTGGCATTACTCTCTTCCTGGAGCCCCAATTACTGTGAGAACTATATGGATGTTGCACAGGAAGAAACATCATGTATTTCCTCTACATTTATTAATTTTTTGTGCCCAAGTTGATAGTTTTAAAAGAAGAGCCATGACTTGTGAGGATTTGGCTAATTCCAATGGTCATCAGTAAGTCAGTTTGCAACTTACTACTAAGTCTTACTCAAGATCTTGTGTATCTTACTCAAGGCTGCTAAGGCCAGACAATATCTGATCCGACATCTTTCAAAAGGTGGTAGGCAAGAAATAACATGCCAGAGTTTTTCCTTGTTTTGTTTTTTAAGTAGTTCTGCATTCTGGTATATGTAAGCAAAATTAGGAAAACCCAAAATCAACGAAGGAAACACTAGAAATTTACAGAGAAATAACATGTGGATTAGCAGAAACTCCTGTGATGTATGATAGCCATTTTACTCCCTCTATAAAAAAGGTCTGTGGTCTTAGTAAAAGTTCTTTCATCTTTGGGATAATGTCAAAATTTCAACTTGGATGTCAGTTCATACACTCACATTCTCCAGCTTTGTTGTGTATTCTTACCATAATGTACATTATGGACTAAGAAAAAAAAAAAGGGGTGGCCATTTGTAGTATTTACATTATAATGTAAAGGAACTATCACTTTTGAAATACAGATCTGTACAGACATCTGGAAAAGCAAAGTCTGAAGCAAGAAATCTACACGTAGGATGACACATTTTTCCCCCTAATGTTGTAGTGTCACAATTGATTTAAACTAAGCAAGGAAAAAAAAATCTCATTTCCATCTCTCTTCCCTTGTGTCAAAACAAGTGCTTCCATCTAGGTCTGGAAGCTTCAGTTAAGGGATCTAAAACTCTGAAAGACCCACATTCCTCTAAGAGCAGTTTCACTGATCACACACAGGTATTTATTTCCTCCATTGCCCGAAAAACTGTGCCAATTGAAATTGTCCATGTATGGAAGAAAGATATACCAGAAACAAAGGATCCAAGTTCTGTTTCTGAAGCAAGAGAAGGCTCTTCTCACCCAAGGAAACTGAAACAATAAAACCATTATGATCTTGTCTCTGCCAAAGGCAGGGGGTTGGAATTGGATGATCTTTAAGGTCCTTTCTAATCCAAACCACTCTGTGATTCTGTGAGCCTTTGAGCCTGTTTTAAAGCAATTAAACAACAAATCAAGGATTAACTACTTTTAGGTAACTGCACTCGAGTTAAATTCCACCCGTATGAGACTCTGCAGAAGTGAAGTTCGTCATCTTTAGTTTTTCAAACCTTTGGCTGTGCCACAACAAAGTATAACTTCATGCTGAGGCATCGATTTGGTATAGGCAAAGCTGCCATCCTCTAACTGGCTATAGCTGCCCAGAAGGATTCTGACTTAGTGACAGAAAATAGAACTGTTAAAATAGAACTACTAAAAACACAAACACGCTATTTTCCCGCTGGCACATGTAACCATTCATTTCTCAGCTCTGTCTGAGCTTGGCACTTATAACACACGTGCGATGTCCCTCCTTCCCCTCTGGTTCGCAGGCCGTGTCCAGCTGGGATTCAGGACCCATCCCAAGGACTGCCCGCAGCTGAACTAACGCTGCTGCTAGCCCCGTTACCGTCAGGGCTCGGCAGACAGACGTCTCAGAAAGCACAGAGCGTTCTCTGCTACTAGAACCATCACCGCTACACCCACAGCGCCGGGGCGCTGTGGAATCCGACCGCTGCGCCGGGGCGGCGCAACCCCACGAACGCCCCCGACCCAGGGCCCGCGGCTCGCCTTCCCGGCCCCTTACTCGGAGCTCGCAGACAGCGAGGAGCCGCAGGAGTCACTCTCGCGCCGGCCCGCAGCTCAGCGCTTCCCCTCGGCGGGCTCCACGCCTGGGCGGCTCCACTCCCGCCGGGCCCCCGGCGCCATTACACCCCCACGCCGGCGGCCACGTGGCCCGCCCCGCGCCTCCCATTGGCCGCGTCCCCCGCGCGCCATGGAGACGGCGGGAAGCGCGAGGGGCCCGGGCCGGGAGGGGCAGCACCGCCCCCGCCTCGACCGGGGGAAATTGCGCCTTCAGTGCGTCCCCTGAAAGTAATGCCCGACCTGCCCCGTTCGCCTCCTCGAAACAAAAAAACTGCCTTAGCGATCCCTTGAAAGTCTTTCAGTAGGTCGATATGGAACGCAAATCACCAGACTATTTATTTAGTTGCCCGATGTCAAGGTCCCACATCTGTCCCATAAAAGAGATTGGCAGTGAAACTCGGAGTCCTGGGCCAGAGCATTGCTTGTAATCAAACAATAATCTGGAGGGGGAAACGTGAGGTCAGAAGTGACGGTCAAGTCAAATACATAGCAGTGGGATACCTCTCTGCTTTATTTTATACTTATATTTGTTTATGAAGTTGTGAGAAACTGAGGTAACTTGTTTTTAGGTTAGTCAGGAGAACAGTGGGGTTCAGGAGAAACAAGGATGTGACAGACCCTTACACCAGCCCATGCAATCTACACGTGAAAATCATGCAGTCAAAGGAGAGAGACAAAAAACCTCTACTCTGTTTTCAGGACATAAATTATTCCCATCCATGAAAAACAAGACCCATGGCAACCCCATAGGCAACTTGCTGTGTAGCTATGTCAGTAAACCCATCAGGACACGCATGGTGAATAGGGAAAGGATGGAGAATAATTGTTGGAACATTTTTAATATGTTGGATTTAAGGTCTGCTCAGTGGGATATTTGCACAGCTTCGCCAGCAGGGTTTTATAATGCTGGAGTACGATGTAGGAATCACAGAATTCTAGTATGAAATCCCTGTGCTTGAAACTGCTTTAGGGAAGCATTTGTTAATAAGTGTGATTCCAAGTGAATTGACCGAAAGAAATGTTTTGGATTCGTATCCATGTGATTAGGCTTCAACTGCAGTTGTTAAAGATACCTATATTGAATACTGTGGCCATTCTGAAGTCCCTGTACAAGACCTGATTTTGCAGATAAATCACTGTTTTATAGTTTTTAAGACTACAAATCTATCCAAAGGGGGAAGACAGAAACATTCCCTATCTAAAGTAAAAAGTTTGTTCTGCTATGGTTTTATTTGGTTTAGGACAGGACAGTGTAGTTACTTTAAGGGGCTTTTTTCCCCTATCTGAGCAGGCAACAACCACGCCACACAAAATATATAACCCATGCATGGTAAAAAAAAAAAATAAAAATTAAAAATCAGATCTTTGGTTGTTTGCAATTGCCAGACTCCAAGTTATGCACCAACTTTCATTCTGTCTATAACTTCCAGAAGAACAGGCGGAAAAAATATTTTTCAAGTACCCCACTTCCCAGACAATTTACTTTGTGAAAACAAAATAATCTGCATAATCAGCATTTCCCAAAGAGCCTAATGAGTTAAGATTTCCTAAGATCAATACTGCAGGAGTTAGAATTTTAGGAGAAGTAGGTGAGATACACTGTCCCACCCTCCCTAATTCTGCTTACATTTGCAAGCACTTTAAATATGCTGAGCAGCACACTGAAGTGTTTCTGTAGAGAAGTGATAGTCAATGCCAGATGGTCCTGTGTTAGTTAAATTTCACTGAGTTCAAGAGCTGGTTAATTGTTTCCAGTTGTTTGCTCTCTAAGTGAGAAATACGGGCTCTCTCAAGGAGGCAGTGGTCTTACACCACTTGCTGTTTTATAGGAATAAGCTCATTATGAATGGAAGGGTGATGGAAGATTTGGTCCACTGAGAGGGGTAGTTGGGAGTCACCTAAGTATTTTTCTGAAACAAATGTGGAATTTTTGCTGCTCTGGGAACAATTAAAGACTGCAAGACATATCTCACACAGCAGGATTTTATTTTAGTGAAGACACAGATTTTCCCATACAATCCCTCCTGAGAGGAAAGCCTCTCATTTCTTGGGCATAAGTATTAGGAAAAGACTTGAAATAATTTGTCTTTTGGCAGATACTTTACACTTAGTCCAAGTAGCTGGACTGATGCTTCTTGCTAGGGAACCCATAAGCCTTCTATGCTAAGTTGCTGTTATTAACAAGCAGATGGTAAAAACTTGCCACAGGGTATCATTGGCATTAATAGTACTGCTCACTCTCACTGGACAACTGGTTAATGAACACTTAAAAGTGGATAATTAAAAAGCACTCCCTTTCGCCTTAAGGTTGTTCTGATTAGCTGTTCCTGCAAAGAACTAAATCCATGTGTATAAATTTATTCCGGAACAAGAGTTTCTTGTTACTGTTTTCAGCTTAACCTGCTTCAAAAGTTGCTGTGTTTTAAAAATAACAGAAAATAACAGAAAAATATTCAGAAAGAGACTGAAGTTAAAAGAAGACAGAGTATAGGACAAACTAAAGAGATATACTGGTTCTGTCTAATAAAGTACTAAAATAACTAGAGTGCAACTTTATTTTTTTGGTGCAGTTGCATGGATACTCCAACCACTGCCCAATTTCCACTACTAGTATTTTTCATTGTTATATACTGACAGCTGATTTTTTCAACCTGATGATAAAGAAATGAGGCTGGAGTTAGAGTCTTTCCTAGTGCCTAGATGGAAGAGCACAGGGAAATTTAGGATTAGCGTTTATGACTAACTTATTGTGTTTGGTATAGTCAGGCCTAATCTTAGCAATGTTCCCAGGACCCATAATTCACTGATGGTATTCCAAAATATTTCACTGATTCACATTCTGCAGGTGTGTTGGGCCTGAATCATGGATGTACTTGGGCTTTTTTCAACACACGGCTGAAAACTGGGACAGCATTATGCCCTTGGTACCCTGTGCTATGAGTGAATGCTACCTGATACTTAGGAGCACCTGCTTTAAGCCTGTGAGGTGCCAATGTGCTATCCAGGAATTATATCAGATCCCTGATTTTTCAGCTATCTCCCCTTCTTCTTCAGGGTCATTCCCCCTAGTGACTGCCAGTGTGGGTGAGGAAGAGCAATGACTGCAGTGCTGTTCCTGTAATATCTGAACAGTGGTCCAAACTGAAGAATTCTCCAAAGATTGGATCTGCCAGCTCCCTGGCTCTTTTGTACAGTTCAGGTGCTAGAAACAGGCCATAGTAATCCTGCAAGACAAATCTCACTGGATACACCTGGACTATAGTAGAATCTGTCTTTCTTACTATAAGGGTATCAACAGCATTTTAAGTGTCCCTTTGCTTTCTCCTTCCATACTTCAAATTACAGCTCTTCATTAGTGATAAAGAACTAAGAAGACCTAAGTGACTTGTTATTGTTTCATTTTTTCCTTTCTGCTTGTTTTCAAATCCATTACTATTTCCAGAAAGGCTCTATCAAGAACTGGACACAAATAATATATTACATATGTAACTTGATACATTACTAACAGAGAAAACTAAGAGGAAAATAGTTTCATCTTTGTTTATCAGTTCTGTTTCTTGATGCTAACACCTGCTTTACTGAAAGAAAAACTAACAAAAAAAATTGGAATGCTAAAGAGTGACATTATATACTTTTCATCTATTGATCCCTATTTATTTTTTTATTCCTCCAGTGCACAGCATCAGCAAAAATATAACAGAAATAATTTCCTCTTTTTAAAAGTTAATGACAACAGCACAGCTTTCTCCTGCCCTGCCAAAGTCTTTCTTAAAGGACAAAAGGCACATTTCACAAGCACTTCTTATTAAATAAGATTTTTTATTACGAGGTTTCCATAAAACTACGTGAATAAGATTGTGATTACAGCATCTTCTGTTCACAACTTTATGATTGCATCAAGACCATCCACAGCAAAGTAGCATGAATTGAACAGTAACACTAGACTGTCATTTTTATTGGGATATTTACATATAAACAGACTAAATGGAGAATGAAGGCTACCTTTGGGACCAAAGGAACAGAAATTTTGTGAGAAAACACTCCAGTGTTCAATAATTAAAATAGACTGTTCTTTCTGACTTCTTAAGCTTTCTGTATCAACTCTGCTGGATCACAGAAAGTATTTTACAAGAACACAAAACCAACAAGACAGCAGCCATGAAGAATCTGGGAAGACTAGTTCAACCCATCTCATTCTTTTGGAAAGCAGTCCTATAGAGTTAAGAGTTCCCTCTAGCATGAAAAGCAGCTCTAACTTCAAGTATGATTTTTTTTTCTACTGTTTTTACTTCACTTTAAATCTACAGGGTTTTTTTAGGATCGCCTGCTATGCGTAGCAGGCATGTCAAGCATGAAAGAAAACCATTATTTGCAGTCAGTCAACATGCAAATGTTTCAAGCATGAATACCCTTATTACACTTAGAGTATATTAATATAAGCAATACCATGGGGCAGCATGTTTTTAATCCAGCTTTGAAATGGAACATTTTCTGTTAAGTCACTGACAAATCCATGCACAAATCCATGCAACCAGAGGGTCCCTGTTAGCAGATGGATACATTTATTGCTCATAAAGCAGCTTCAGACTGCCATGCAGGAGCAGGCTGATTCTGGCATGCCCTCCTTGCTGTACTCTGTGTTTGCATCCCCAGTGTTCATAGGAATGGATTTTAAGTTACGCCTTGAGCTGGAGTTAATAATCAGTTGTTAGTTTCCATAGCAAGAGCTGTTTGGAGCTGGCACTGGGAGTACCCGTGTGCTTTTACAATAAGAAAGAAATCAGTGTAGCTGTGACATAGGAGACAGACACTTTAATCAACGACTGGAGATGAGCTTCTCTTGGATACTGTTGAATGGGATGCTGTTTTCTTTGTAAAGTGTAAGCGGCTCTCTCGGATATGTCTGTCACGTATTGGCCTCATAAGCCACCAGCGTGCCTGTAGCAAATGTGGATAGAGCCTTCCCAAATCTTCGTTCGCGAAGCCTAGCCATGGTAAGCGGCTCTCAGCTAGTGCACGAAAAATGGCTTTAAGGGTGGCTTTTCAAAGTCTGGCTTGGGCCCATTGGGCCAGATCTTATTGTCGGGATGTCTTTGTGGGGGGATACTGTGGAAAATCGCATGTTAGGAATTGTGAAGGCAGGGGGAAAAGCAGCTGCTTCTCACACAGCGCTCCTCCTGCACATCCACTAAATGATTTTTTTTCCACCCCCCTTGGACCTTAGGATACGTTTTTCCCTCCCCCTAAAGAAGGTTCAAAATGCTTACGGCACTGATGCAAGAACATCAATCCATATCAGACCCTTCCTTACACATGTAGGAGACCCAGGCGTTGCTCCCGTAGCTCCCCTCACCTGCAGATGCTCCTCTTTCTCCAGGAAGGAGAGAGGGAAACCCGAGGGCGCCTCGGCGCTTCGCGGGCAGCAGTCCCTTCCCTTCCCGGTCCGCCGCGGCAGCCCCGGCTCCCGTAGCCCCCTGCCTGCGCCCACCGGCGCCCGGGGCGGCAGGACACGGCCCCTCGCCCTTTCTGCCACCACAACAAAAGGGGAGCTTGCCGGGGAGCCGGGTGCTCCTCTGATACTCGCGGCCAGTCTGCTCTGGCGAAGGGGCAGAGGGAGTCTCCAGGGTTAGCGGTGCGGAGCGCGCAGGGCGCGCGGGAGCCTCCAGAGCTCGGAAGCGAAGGGCAGGCGCTCCCCTCGAGAGCCGCTCCCGTCCCGCACTGACGCTGTGGCAGCAGGACGCTCTGCACCGAGTCAGGTCCTCGAGGTTCTGGGTGAGCGGGACTGCTGTCCTGCCGCACCGAACATCGCGGGTGGGGGGCGAGGGCCTCACCAATCGCCGCCCGCGGCAACCGGGAGGCAGGCGGTCGGGGCAGGTGGGGAAGCCTCAGCCCGCCCGCCGCGCCGCCTGCCCGCCCGCTCCCGGAGCCCGTTGGCGCCGCGCCGCGGGGCGCGAGGGAAGCGCGGAACTGCTGCCGCAGGGATGGAAGCCTGGGGGAGCGCGTCCCGCGCAGCCGAGGGAGCGTGGGACTGGTCCCGCAGGGATTGCGCTGTTGCACGGTGTTGCTTCTTTCAGGAACTTGCAAACCGTGAAGACCCAAGTTTCATATAAATGAAGTAAAATAATTCCTAACTGCAGCCGTGGGTTTTTTTCCCCCCAGAGCTTCATCCACAGCTCCCGCTATAGGAGAAAATAGTTTTCCCCCACGAATTTTCCTGTTGATCAAACTAATGGAATTGTCCAGTTGATTTCTTAAATAATAATACAAATAATCGTCAATCCCAAATGTTTAATCCAGTCCATCCCTCTTTGACAAAATAGTAATTACAAGTAGTTTCAGATGATCTCTGAGTTACAGGACTCCTTACTGGGTTCCCATCTGCAAAATTCTGACACAGGGTGTTGAATGAACAAGCATGTCAATGTATAAAAGTGGTGTGACCCATATCTTCTCCATTTTTATTTCTTACCCATGAACTGCCATAATTTATTTCCTCTGCTCCCTTTTACAAAGACATCATTTTTCTCTAATGATTAGAATTTTTCAAGATGCGGTCATCTGCTCCAGGTTTTCTCCTATAGGTGACATAAGATCAATAGCTAATAAAATCTTGCAATCTGTTATTAAAATCTTTATCAGGTTTAGTTTCCCTCAGTCACTGTGTCTGAGGCAATTATAGCAACACAGCAATGAAGTAATTTCTCAGAAAGACCATTAAAAGAGGACCATTAGTGTGATACAGAATAGATAACAAATTGGAAGCCAATGAATATTTTAACACCCAGTTCCATGGGATGTTGGCCACTACATGGAGCAAAAGCTCTAGCTTTTTTGAAAACTTTGCCTTGAGCAGACAGTGGCAACAGCTCAGTTTGGAGAGGGTGAATGCAGAATTGCTATGAATCTGTGGCTGGGATTCTCACCAAGTAGTATGACTCGAATATTTAGATGTCTCACCATTTTTGCCTTTCTTAAAATTTTGTTTTCATTCTTTCTTTGATACCAGCAAGAAATTTTAGGAGAAGAACAATCTCCTCTGAATTCTACTCCTGTCAAAGATGTGGAAACCATCATCATCCACTCAAGTGAGCAACAGCAGCAGTACTATGGCTTATGACCGTAAAACCTTTGTCATGATCTTTGGCACCAGGGTGCTAGGGAAGCTGAAGGATTTGGGGTTTAAGTAGCAGTGACTGGTATGTACAGTATCAAAGTAATGCTTCCACAGTGGTCACTGAGCCAAGAACTTCTTGCAATGCTCACATCTTGATTTCAGAAAGCTGATAGAAGTTTCATGGTGGTTGTGTCACCATTGCTCTAGTAAAACACTTAGGCACAATCCATGTTTCTAGGTGACTGCAGCAGTGAGCAATGTGTGATCTGAAGTTTAGAATATTTCAGATAGAAAGGTTCCTGGAAGTATGGATCAGATGGCAAGGGGAGAATTTTTCCTGCTATTCACAGCTATAGCTACTTTTATGTCTTCCTAGTGTGTCTGCTATGGTAAATGAGTCCTACACATGCATACTGAGGATATAAATTTTAGGCTAGAATGTCATGGAAATCTCTCACTTCAGCATCTTATCTGGACTGCTAGATTCCTGTACAATGTGGTTTTCAGAACAGCGTTATGCAACAGCAGCAGAGCAAAAAAGTGTAGACACTTACTTTGCTATACTTTTTTTCACCCTTTGTACCATTTTTGTGCCCTAAGAGAGCAGAGATGTTTAATTTGTACATAACAGGGATGTGTTTTTCCAATTCCCTTAGGTCAACACAAACCCCACATCTAGGGCTGGCATTTGACAGCAGAAAACAACAAAACCCCGAAACATTACCATTAAAATCACTCTCCATGCCCAGAAGGCCTTTCCAAGAAGCTTGTCACGTTTTCTTTGTCCCTGGGTTCCTTCTCACTGAGAGAACATTTTTTTATGCTTCTTGCATAAAAAATTACAACTTTTACTACATTTAGTGTGCCTAGACTCAATATTTATGGATGATGCAACTGTAAAATGAAAAAAGAGCAGAAAATCAGAAGTGATATAGTGGATATTTTCAGAGCTCAATATTTTTCCCAAATATATTTGCTACCTTAGTTGCACATAAGTTTCTCAAGTTAAAAGAGAGAATTCTGAGCTAGCATTAATCCTCTTACATGACTTCTGCAACTACTCCAGCCTTTGACATTTAGAAAAATTATTGAGTTTTACAGATTGAAGTTTCACTAAAAAAGTGCAATTTTACTGTATTTTCTGCAACATTTTAGGTCACAGAAAAAGGAAGGTCACTATTCCATTTGAAGTTTGTCAGCTCTTGTATTTAACTGTACATATAGAGAACATGGCACTACAGCACATTTCCTGAATCCAATTAAATAAGTGCAGTTGGAGAAAGATGATAAAGTTCTGCAATGCATAGAAACAAAACCAATAGGGATTGGGAAAGGAGGAAATTTAACCAGGTTAAACACATAGCAATGACAACAATGAAGAATTTTAAGAGGCACATACAAAAGAGGCACACTTTAAGAGGCTGCATACAAAATAATTAAAGCATGCCTGGGCTCCCCTTCTGGTTGTGGTAGATTTACTGTCAGTTGAACTGCTTTATGAAAACCCTTCTGCTTTTTTACAGAACAATTCTGGTGTTTCTGGTGTAAAAGGAAAAAAGAAAACATAAAGTATTATAATGCTGTACTTGTGACAGACACCTCTTTCTGAGATTATACTGTGTATTTTTCTTCAGCAGATGTTAGGCTCTTGATTCTGTAACTATTTCCTATACTGACAAGGTCGGAAGTTTTCCAGTCATAATCCCCTTTTGGCAAAGAGGTAGTAAAGATATGTCTGCTGTATCTGAATACCTTTGATTTCCTTGACTTGGCAGGCAAGTTTTATCATGCCCAAGGATCCAAGGTTAACCAGCGTTCATTGGCTGCATAAGGTGGAAATCAGGTTGTCATTACTTCATATGTTTGATTTGTCATTTATGTCATTAGTCATGAGATGTTAGCACATGAGGAGACTTGAAATATTCAACTGAAGGAAAAAATCCCTATTTTTTTCTGTTCAGTTATACTTATGAGTCAGGGAGACTGTACCTTACTGTATTCAGTTCCCAAACTAGGGGCCATGGCAAATGGTTGTTAGAGTACAAGGTTACTTTCCTTACCTCTTGGCTCATGAAACTACCCCTGTAACAGAGGCAGAAAACAGGCACTGAGAATGCACCTTACCAGCTGCCATTCACAGTCCAGCACATCAACCGAAGCCCTCATCTACTTCCATTTATTTTGTTATGCCAAGCTCTAAACCATGGCAGCTGAATGTCAAGTTCACATATCCATTACATTAAGCTGTGGCAATGAAAGGAATCAGGAATGATGAACCAGAGACCACATTTTCTACTTGTCTGAAAGCACAGAGATTTGACAGTCTAAGGATTTTTTCCCCATCTGACTGGCTCAAGTGTAGTTTACCTTTTAAACCTTAGAGGATTGTTTATCTTTGGATGTACTAGGCAAGAAGGAGCTCTAATTAGCACAAGGGATGAAAACCCATGAAGGAAATTAGTCAGTTAGCACTGGATTGTCCTGTGTTGTGTTATGTTATATTCTCTGCTTTGATACATAGGTTCATTAAAAATATGCTTCTACTGTCTTAGAAATGTAAGAAGAACTGCAAAACTTAGTAAAAAGCAGTGATTTGCATTAATGAATATACTTCTTCAGAATCAAGAACCATAAAGAACGAATATACATACATTCTGCATAGAAACACTCATCAGATCTACAGTGGTTTATTTCTGGTATTACTTGATCTTCTGCTGATTAACAGTGGACAGTGATGGCAATTTTGTGGAGTGGGTATTTGTTCCTGGACAAGAAGATAGGCTCTCCCTCACCAGAAGATGCATACTCAGACTGGTATTGCCTGTCTGTGGCCATGTTTAAAAGACTGAGGGGTGGGGTTGGTGGAGTATTTTTGCCAAGTAGGTGTTCCCAGGCTCTGCCTCTTGTCTACAAATAGCTATCAAGATTCTAGGAGGCAGAGGCAATACTCTAATTTTCACTTTTGACACGGTCAAATACGGACATCCACCTCTGGATTTGCTTTCTATTCTAATTGAGGCTAGATGCATATTAAAAAAACCCAAACACACAGAGATTTTGGTGTTATTGCATCACTTAAAGAATTGCTCCTTCTTTTCGGTCCGTATGGAGACAGCTGGGTTCCGCAAGCGGTCCTGTTAACTTCCTTGTGTTACATCAGCACTGCACTGCAGAGAGCAGGAGAGTAGAGTCTAATGATCTGTTCTTCTCAGAGTGCAGGGGCACAAAACATTCTGTGCATTCTCAGGTCTACCTTCAGTCCAGCCTTCCAGCAGCAAGAGAGAAAAATCTACTTTATTTGCCAAACAAATCTCCTGTACTTCTGGGATCTCTTCAAAAGCAGCCACAAGGGCAATGCTTTTGGCAAACTGGTAAAGTCAACAATACAGGAAGCCCTGGAAATAAGAATTTATAGTCCATGAGTAAACCATTAATCCAAGGAGTAAGTGATAAACGGAAGAGCAGCATAGGATAATGTCACTCATTTCATACCAATCTATCAGTTCACCTCTGCAAAGACTCTTCAGTTTGCAGAATAGTGGGGATAGGGTGTTAACATCTGGCAACTTCGTGGCCTTTAAAATAAATAGCTGGATTCTTACTTCCTCTAAGACAGTTTTTGTATTAATGAGAAACCTAAATCTAATTGAAAAAGCTATCCTAAAAATTATTAGATTATTGATATATTGCAAAAACAAAACAAAATTAGATTTTGTTAAACTGAAGTTGACAAAGTTCTTGTAAACTTGCCTATAAATACAGTTTGTGATCTTGTGAGAAATAGATCAGAACCATAAAAAGGGGCAACTTATGTTTTATATGAACAGCTGGGGAAAATGTTCTCCCTGAAACAACATCTCAGCCTTGGCCATATTGATCACCATAACTGGTCGACTCTGGCCTCAAATCGGGAGGCCTGGAGACACGCCATCTATAACACAGCTGTCTCCTTTGAGAACGCCCGCAGGATCACTCTCGAGGAGAAAAGGCAACGCAGAAAGAACCGTGTATTGCAGAATACACCATCCAAAGAGTCTTTCTGCTGTGCCTTTTGCAATCGGACATGTCTGTCACATATTGGCCTCATAAGCCACCAACGTGCTTGTAACAAATGTGGATGGAGCCTTCCCAAATCTTCGTTCGCGAAGCCCAGCCATGATGGGGAAAATGTAAGAATATATGGCAAATATGCTAAATAATAATAAAAAAATCCTTGAACTTTGACACTAGATTTATTTTCTAGGATTGATTCTAAGGCTCTCTCTCCTTCACATCCCCGGCTTCTGGACTTGTCTGAGTTTCTGGAGGCACACACTTTGGAACAGTGATTAGACAGTCTGTCTGTAATTTAAAAATTTCCAAGTAAATACACATACTTTATATGTGCCACTTCACAACCAGCACTTTTAGATTGATCTGAATTTTCTTTTTTTGTGTGTGTGTGAGAATCTCAGAAAAGCATATGTAGAATTTTTATGCGTTAAACAACTTAAATAACTAGTTAAGTCATAACAGAAGTAGGATTATTTTAAAAACTAAAGACTTACAAAATTTTTCTATCAGATGTGCTGGAAATCCTCTGCTTCTGAAATATATAAATACATAACACCAAAACCAGTCACAATTGACTTACAGCATGAGAAAACAGATACTTTTCTCACTCATTTAGTTTTCATCAGAGGTTATTCTTTAAAAATGTAAATATTTTAGTGGGTCATAAGAATTTTAAAAAAAGCAAAATAGCACCACCTGGCGCTGAGCAAAGTTTTTACGATCAGTTCCCATCACTTTTGAGATTATTGCTGTACAGATAAACTACTGCCTTTCACAATCTCAATTTGAGGTC